GTACAGATTCGTTCTAGTTGCGGTCACCGTAGCTCGTATCTTATGGATGGTAAGAGGGTACCTGACCTGTAGTATTGGTCAGGCCGTGCCGGTATGGATATCCCCCTGTCCACTAGAGTATGCCGGGCGATCGTTTTGGCAAACAGGTGTCGGATGGAATCCTGGTCTATCACATCAGCGTCAAATAAGGTGTACTAAATGTCATTGTCGCCAACGTCTCAACAAATGTTCAGAGTGACACCAGAACAGACGCTTTCTATGAATGATTTCAGTATTCCGTTAGCGCTTTCTGACCTCATAACGGGGTGGGTACCAAGTACTCTACAAGATGAGGAGTACTGAACCGTCGCGATATTGATAACAGCATAAATGACAACGGCAGACGTCTGTTAAACCTTGATGCCCCATACAGCTTCTTCGTCGACGGTACCCTTTTCCCCCATAAGCATGTGCGTCAAACTACCTGGATGTTTTCTGATGTAAGTTTAAACACCCCACTGCACCACACCCTCATTAACCGCAATCGTTTGCCAGAGGAACGAAGGACCAGTTGAAACGCCACCAGTTAGTAAAATTTGAACCTAATCCTCCTTCTGAAGTATCTGTCACGTGACCTGGAATAGAGAAAACGGCGAGGTAAGGTGTTTTCGTAACTCAAATAACCAACGGTAATTAATGAGGTGGCATAGAAGAGAGCAGTTGTAGCGACCGAAACGGCACGATACGAGGAAAAGATCAAATATGAAATAAATAGAAAACCATAAACGGGAGTCCACTTACGGTCAGCGTCTGCAAACACCACATTTGGACTCTTGCCTCCAAGTTCGAGAGTGACCTTCTTCAAGTTGGACTCGCCGGATCCCTTCATGATCAACCTTCCTACTTCCGTGCTTCCTGTGAAAGATATTTTGTCTACGTCTGGATGCGTTGTCAATGCTGCTCCTGCAGTCGGTCCAAAGCCAGGAACGATATTGACGACACCCGGTGGAAATCCGGCCTTAAGTAAGAGTTTTATAGTCAGATTTTATGAACCGTTCATAATAAATGATTCATTTATAAAATATATTCAATAGTTTGTAGCGCATGATAACAAACCATTCCTTATAAGGAAAAAGAAGAAAAATACCAAAGCCGAAGATACATAGGAATTCTATTACAAATCTCAATTGTAGAAATAAATTTCATCTGGATGCTACATTTTGCCATCTTATGGTCAAGTTGTCATACTCATACTTTATTTCAATACTTACACAGTCAAACCATTTCCGTATTAAATTTATTTGTTGCCGCATTGTATATTAGAAAATAATACTCTTTGTTGCAACATTTATATTGTCGCCAAGTATTCCTATCGCCCTTTCGCAAATACAAACCAGCGCTGCCCAATTTCACTGATTGTTTTTGCACTTGTAGCTCTCACAGTCTCTGTATATTTTATTTGCTGACAACATATGCAATGTAATCGAGTAATCTCGACTAAGTTAGTTCGCTATTCTGGATTTTTAAGCACTTTTGACATTTCTGATAGTGGTACTACCGCCTCACCCACAATGTGTATCGTTCTCTTTAGCTCCTTCCTACAGCGAAGCCCTACCCTAATCCCTTCTCTTCAGTAAGGCATCGTAAGGCAAAAAATTAACAATAACAAGTAATAAAAATTGAACTAGACACACATACCTCAACAACCAACGATGCAAAATACAGTGCGGACAGTGGTGTCTGTTCAGCAGGTTTTATGACAATCGTACACCCCACAGCAAGGGCTGGTCCCACTTTCCAGCAAAGCAGAGCCAATGGGAAATTCCACTAAAATGATATGGGACTTAATGCAAAGCAACATTCAGAGCAGCTACATTTTAAGTTTAAATGCAATAAGCGTTACTTCGAATAACGTCGATTCGTACTTACGTCGTCTGTATATCTTAAATTTTAAATATTTTATGTAAATGAGCAAAAATTTAAATTAAACTGGTGCACTGAGTTCCAACCCTACGCAATTAACCAGTATTTTCGAGTTCGTATTTAGTCAAAACATGATCACGGTGCTGAAGCAACAGAAGAAGTGATCACTCCTGTTTCACAACTTAATTTGCAGGTTGACGCTAAAGATGTCATGGAGGCATTGCACCCCCATAAAGAAGATCTCACAGTATATCATATGATAGAAATTCATAAATAAAACGCTGTCAAGTAAGCTAAAGACGCTGAACCAGAACGGAGTATCATGATGACAGCTGGAAACTGGAATGCTAACTGAAAGTGCTGGACTGATTAAGGCCTGTCTGAAGGTTCTCGATGAAATTGATTCGAATCAAGACCAAGCAGCAACTGCAGGCAAGGCATAAAGGCGATCGCGTACCAAAAAAGAATTTGACGGGAGAAAGAAACGTTTTTTCCGCCAAGTTTCATTGCTGGACTTCTTTAAATCGTCCTCCTCTAGCTCAAAACTGTCATATGTTCATTTTATTTTGCTTAATTTTAATTTGCAATGAAAACGTCATAATTCGTCCGCAATTGGTGCATTTTTATTGATCCAATTGACTGTCCAGAACCAATTTCATCTTGTATAGAATTGTATGAACATTTTTATCTCGACTTAAGTCGCCAACTGTGTAATCACCTATGATACAATTTTGGAATATTACTGTATATTAACTATATTTATGATAATTGCTTATAACACCAAATGTTTTCATCGCAGGTTAGACAACGGCAATTGTAAGGAGTACAGATGCATCAAACCATGGCACAAAGCTAAAACATCTACCTGATTAGTTACTCATCTAGGGGTCAAGTACAATCGGCTTTCCCTCATCATCCGGCTGCCTGAAAACCCGGGCGAAAAATGACAAAACAGACCAACGATACAAGTATGTATTGGCTAGAATGGCTTTAAATCGACCCTGTGATTCCAGATTCTCAGAAGCTGCATAGAAAACGATGAGAAGAGGACCGTACAATACGCCATGAAATCTGGTCTTAGAGAAGGTATGCGCCATTTAACATCTCTGACGTACGAATATATTTTGTATGTATGTATGTATGTGAGC